TTTTTTTTTTTTTTGGTGATTTAAAAAACAAGGTACTTAGGGGCACCTGGGTGGCTCACTCAGTTGAGTGCCTGACTCTTGATTTTGGCTCAGGTCATGATCTCACGGATCCTGAGATCGAGCCCCGTGTCATTGGGCTCCAACAGGGTGGAGGCGACTTGGGATTCTCTCTCTCCCTCTCTCTCTCTGCACCCCCCACTTGCATGCTCTCTCTCTCTCTCTCTCTCAAAAATAAATAAACTTAAAAAAATAAAAATTAATAAAGACCAAGGTGCTAATAAGTGCTACAACACGGATGAACCTGGAAAACATTACGAGGAGGGAAAAAAGCCAGACCCAAACGGCCCTGTGCTGTGTGATTCCACTTAAATGAAATGTCCAGAGTGCCAGCGAGTGCCTGGCAATTAGGATGGGTTTGTTTAGGGAGTGATAAAAATGGTCTCCAATTGATTGTGGGGATGGTTGCACAACTCTGAATATGCTAAGAATAATTTAACTGTATGTGAATCCGAACCCAGTAAGCCTGGTGTATAAAAAAAGGAAGTGGTAATGTTTTATTTCTTAAGCTGGGTGGTGTGTATCATGGGTGTTCACTTTATTGCAATTCCTTAAATTTGCATTTAAGTCATTCTTTGTAGGTAAAATATATATCTTAGCAAACATATCTGTTTAGAAGTCTGGCAGACCTGGGTTCTAATTCTGGCTCAACCGCTTAACGGCTATGGGTTCTCGGGCAGATTCCTTGACCTTCCAACGTCTTATCTGTAAAGCAGAGACGGTAATAATAGTAATTCCCTCATAGGCTCTTACATCATGTGCCTGGCACACTATCGGTGCTATTATTAGCTAATATTAGCTCTAAGGAGTTGAGCCACTTGCCTAAATAACTCAGATTCACGGCTCCGCTTTCTTTAAACTCCAACTTCCGGGTTTGCTATTCTACAAGAATTCACGACGTTGGTCAGGGAAATAAAAACTGACCTTCGAGTAGGACCCACTGAATTCTACCTTAAAAATGCCCTTACTTAATGGCTCTATGAAGTCAATAACGCTCCTAACAGAGCAGGACAAAACCCAAAATTCCGCCACCTCCGAGGGTTGGTGTTGACTAGGGTTCCAGTCCGGCTCTGGGAGTTCAAGTCTGAGCCAGATTGAGAGAAGAATATTCCTTTTGGCCATGAGCAGTCTCTACAACTCCTATCCATTCTGAATCTAGTCTCCAGGTTTAGTCCTGAGAGACCCTGTGTGTTGTACTTGCTACTGTCCCCACCACGTCAGATTTCTAGCACATGATTTCTAGCACACGATCTTTAAACCTATCGTACAGGGGCACCTGAGGGGCTCACTTGGTCAAGCACCTGACTCTTGATCTCGGCTCAGGTCATGATCTCATGGTTCATGGGATCGAGCCCCATGCTGGGTTCTGTGTTGACAGTGCGGAGCCTGCTTGGGATTCTTCCTCTCCCTCTCTTTCTGCCCCTCCCCTCCTCGCTCGTGCGCGCGCTCTCTCTCTCTCTCTCTCTCTCCCAAAATAAATAAATAAACTTACAAAAAAGAAACCCACCATACAGCGTGCTGGCCCAGATGAATGCATCAGTAAATGTGTCAGGGACAGGGAGCCCGAGGGTCAGGAGGGGTAGGAGAGAGAAGCATTTATCAAGGTCCCTTGCGAGGACTCTGAAAGGAGACACTGTTCTGTTATTCCCCACGAATCTGAAACAATTTCTAATCCTGTACAATTGTTATCACAACCCACTGCATAAAGTGCCTGCCAGGTAGTTCACACCGCTCGTGTCCTTCCGCCCTCCATGTTAGTAAATATCTGCCTTCCAGTCACAGCACTGCTTGAGACGTCCCCCACCAGACAGGGAAAGTGAAAACGAGATGACCCCTGGCACTTGAGCTATCTGTCAGCAACTCAGAAAAACCATTCATGGGGGCACCGGAAGACTACACCAAAGGATCCAAATAGAGTTTCGCTTCAGGAAGGCCTTCCCTGAGCCTCCCTTGCCCCCACACTAAGCTGATACCATGTTGCACAGTATCACCCCATCCTTTTCATTACCCTTTTGTCCTACAACATGTTTATGGTGTTTGATTTCACGTCTGCATTGCTCTCAAGAGTCTATGCTCTGAGGGGAGGGACTTCCTCTTCCTTGCTTACTGCTGTATCCCCACCAGCCAGTACAGGACCTTGCACATAGCAGCTGCTCAGTCATCACAAGTTCAGCTGGTGACCTTGGACGTCCAAACGAAGCAGTCCTAGGAAAGGATCTCGCTGTAAAGCAGCCTAGTTGGGGAAATGGTGACAATTTACCTGTGCTGTGTGAGTACATTGACAGCTGAAGGGTGGTTTGCGCAGTAAGCCAGATACATAGATTTAAAATGAGGCATGAGGTTCAGTAGACAGCCTCCTACTTTGTGTTGGTTTTCTGGAAACCTGTAAGTAAAAACAGATGAAACACAGAATGTAAAATAATAAACGCAATAAAGGAAGATGGCTCCAACCAAACCTGGCAACGTGCAAACCTTTGGAATTCTTTTGCCAAAATTAAAAGAGAAACTCTATTATAATCACTTCCTCCATGAAATGGAAGTTCTTGACCACCAAACACAGCACCGATACATAAGGTCAGGTACTTACCTGGAATTACGAAGTAGGGTGTTTTGGGGTTTTTTTTTTTAAGATATGTATTTAAGGGCGCCTGGCTGGCTCAGTCGTTAAGCATCTGACTTGGCTCAGGTCGTGATCTCATGGTTCGTGAGTTCGAGGACCACATCGGGTGAGCTCGAGCTCTGCTTCGGGTGAGCCTGCCTCTCTATCTCTGCCTCTCCTGGGATTCTCTCCTTCTCTGCTTCTCCCTCACTTGTGCCTCTCTCTCTTTCTCAAAAAAGGTATTTATTCAAATTATAATATTCAAGTTTTTGGCCAGGCACACACAAAAATACTGTCGGCTAATTTATATGAAGTTCAAGTACAGACACAACTAATCAACTCCAAAAATGACATATCACAAAAGAGTATTATGTAGTCTTAGTGACCTGGTGGTCCCTAGGCAGGATGGCCTCAAGATTTTTTTAATTAATTTTTTTTAAGTTACAAGCCACCTGTTTTTATTTGTAGAAAAATCAGAAACGTGCAAGAAAGAAAAAATATTACCCAGAACCCCACCATTCAGGGATAGCTATTATAATAATTTTGGCATTTTCCTTGGACTTCCTCCTACCTCTTTCTCTATAAAATGGAAAACGAAGATTACAAATCTAGTTTGTGATCTGCTCTTCTCACCTGGTGACTTCTCTTCCCTCATCAACAAGCGGGATCCCTATGCGCATTGAGGATGGCTCCACAGGTCTCTTTGGTGTGGGCTCTTACCATCTTCCTTCCTGGATGACCACCCGTGTCCCAGAAAGCTCAAGAAACAGGCAATCCCTCCAATTTCGCTATAGACGATGAAAGTTGCCAACTTCTCCAAGATACACTGCTTGGAAAATGAATCTTGCTACAGAAATATACTGCCTGATGATCATTACAGCCCATTCCATTGTTGAACACTTCAACTATCGAGCTAGCCATCAAATATGTATTGTGGTTCACACAAAGATATACTTTCCTTTCTCCACTTCTTCAAGTTTCAACTGTTAATATAACAGATAAGATCCTGGGTGTGATTTAAAGAGAAGCAGCAGCTTGTGCAACCAAATGAGTCATCCGACTAATTTTCCATTTGCAATGTACAAAAGAAAATATCTAATCAATGTCAAAGGCATCATCCGCGGTCGATCGAGACCTTATTTGGCTCTTACACTGCCCAGGAGCAGTAAAAGCAATACAATTTTTCAGTAAAGTCAGGAACAATTTACTGCACGTAGAGCCCCGATATATACAACTAATGGTTTGGCCCTGTGAATGCCACCACGTAGCGTATTTTCTCTGTACCGGGATCGTTTATCAGAGTTGTAACAAATGAGTAAACATAAAATGCCCTTAATCTAAGACAACAGTTAAAAGGAAAACAAAACACGCCAAGGAAGCGATGTTGCTGGCTATCTTGATGGCAATATGTGACACTTACTTTGAACATTCTTCCAAGGCTTGGCAGAGCGTCTGTTGAAATGAGCATACTTCTTCAAAGTTCCCCAATAAAGATGTAAACTCCACAGTACTCAGACTGGAAAAAAAAAAAAAAAA